TTGACAATGTTAGAAAGACGGTGGTCCATATGGTAGGAGGGGTTCCGCAACATGTATGTGAGAGCTTGAGCATTTGTTTAGCTTCATGGCACAGATTCCTCTTTCCCAGGCAGTGTTTAGTTGTTTACACCCTCCCTGATTGCGCTCCGTTTAGAAGAACCAGGGTTAGAGGTGGGCATGGGTCGTGCCGTGCCTGGTGGTGGCTCGTGTCGAGCCGTGTCGTGCTTGCTTCTTGGTGGGCCGAGCCGGGCCAGGCCACCATTTGGCACACCCCAGCCCACGGCACAGCCCACGTGCCTGGGGTGCGTTCCGGGCCGGGCAGGGGGCCGCCTACTTTTTTTTTTAAATCGATATATTTAAATATTTTATTAATTTATGTTTTTTATTATTATATTATTATTGTTCTTTATATTTTTGTTATTTTTATAATTTTAGTTCTTTTACTTGTTTATTATTATTTATGTTATTTTTATTATTAATATATTATAATTAATTTTATTTTTTACTATTATACATCTTTATTATTATTTAGCAAAAAACAACAATGCATATAATTTAAAAAATTGACTAGTGCAATAACATAAGAATTGATGAATAATTTATTTTATTATACGCCGATATGATAAATCGATAATAAAATAATTGATAATGATAAAAATTGTACAATAATTGATGAATAACTTAACTTTATTGCTTATTTTATTATACAGGGTTTAATAATACAAATAATAGCTATAATTAATAGTATGTAATCTAATTATTCTTCTTGTTCGTTTTCGTCTTCTTCTTCTTGTTCAAGTTCATCGGCCAATTAAATTGATTGGGAACTGGTAGAACCCAACGTTCCTTCATTATCGTCGTTTTGTGCATAAGCACGATCTTGGAAGCGAGTTTCGGCATCCAACCAATCCTTGAAACAAACACACATTTCAAGTGTTTCGGGTTTTAGACTTGTTCTTCTATCGTCTAAAACCCTTCCTGATGCACTAAAAGCTCTTTCGGAGGCAACGGAGGAGACTTGGATAGCAAAAATATCACGAGTCATTGCCGCCAAAATTGGATGTTTCGTGCTTTGTGATTTCCACCAATCAAGGATGTCAAGGCCGTACTTCTCTTCGTCGTCCATGCCTTTCATGAAGTCGTAACTTAAGTACATTTGCAACTCCGAAACATCGTTTTGTGTTCTCCTAGATGATGATTCACTAACTGAAAACTTAGACATCATGTTACAGCTTGTGCAAATAAACCTTTGGCCCTTTTACTTACATTTTTGGATGATTGAGAAGGAGCAAATCGAGACATGGTTCCATATTTAGATTCATAAACTCTATATAAGGCAAAAAATTGATTGGTCACATTAGTTTTATAAGATTCAACATCATCTTCAAATTTCATGCATTGAAAATAAATATCAATTAATAAAAATGTGTCATCATACTTTTGCCTTGGATCTAATATAAAAGCAAAAATATAAATCATAGGAAGAGTAGTGTAATATTTACACCATTTTTCCTCCATTGATGGAAAATATCCATCATAATCGTGTTGTGATTGGTGTTCATCAAAAAGTTGTGCAAGTAAACATGAATTGCTAAGAAAAGAATTAGCACAAGGATTATAAACAGAAGAAAAACAATGTGTCATACTATATAATAATTGTAAAAACTGCATATATTTTTCACATTTAGACCAATCATCATCTAATAAAGCAAATTGTGGAAATTTTTATTATAAAAAATTGTTAATGGACCGTTGTACTCGATTGCCATACTCAACATTTCATAGGTGGAGTTCAACCTAGTTGCACAATCCGTTTTGATTTTAATACCCTTTATCCTTTGTTGCCTTCAAAAAGCTTTCCATTCCTGAAATCTCATGTTAGAGCTGTTAATAGACATAATAGCATATCTAATTTTGTGATAAAATGGACCAATTGCTTGGGTTCCATCCTTCACACACAAGTTTAGAATATGACAAATGCATCTAATATGAAGTGCATCTCCATCTAATATTACATCGATCAATTGTGCTTTAACTAAATTTGCACTAAATGTCATAGAAGTTGCATTATCAAAAGTCATAGACACGATTTTGGACCTAGGATTATATGCATCAATAGCTTGCATTAAATGATGAGAAATATTAAGACCGATGTGGGGGTATAGGTATTCAAGCATTTTAAAATGGATATATAATGCGTTTTTGTAATAACCAATCAGTATCCAACCAATGACAAGTCACCCACAAATAGTGATATTCGTAACCACTATCCCATGCATCAGCGGTCAAAGAAATTCTACAAGTAAGATTACTCAATTCATCATATAACGGACAGTTTTTCTAGAGATTTTTTTTGTGTTGGGGTTGTAGTGCGCGGTTAATGTAATTGTTAAAGGGATCATTTTCGGCAAAAAGAAAGGGTTGTTCGGCATGTACTAACATTTTCCCAAGCTCATCCCTATCTCTATCATAATTGTAAGTGAAGCCATGTGGATGGAATTGAGAAATTTTGGGTTGGGTTGGATCACTAGATGGTTCGCCACATTTTTTTACATGTCTAGTAAGGTGTCCCGTCCCTCCCTTGGTTTCGTCCGAGTAAATTTTCTTACATGTCTTACACTTGACTTTGGTTCCATCTCTACTTAATTGAAAATGTGCCTAAACATAACTCTTTCGGTTGGTAGCGGCTTGTTCCTCTTCGGTATACCATTCTAATGTGTTTGGAATTGGATTGTTCACTCGACCAGGCGGCATGTGTTTGGCTACCTTGACTAGTAGGAAAAAAAATTCATGTTGTGAGCCGTATAAATGAGGTGAGAATTGGTTTTGTTGAAATCCTAAACTAGACATAGTCCAAGGAGACATATTGTCAAATTGTTCGAATCCTCCCATGGTTTTAGGATGAAAGAAGGGGGTGGAAGTGTTCGGAATGGGCTTGTTAGGGGCGGGCATTGAAGTGTTTGAATTTGGTAATTCCCTACTAGTACTAGTACGTTTTGACTTGGCTTTCCTAGAGGAGGAGGAAGGGTTCGGGTTTGATGCCATGATTAATAATAATAACAATAATAATAACAACAATAATAATATAAATAATAATAATAACAATAACAATAATAATAACAACAATAATAATAACAATAACAATAACAATAATAATAATAATAATAATAATAATAATAATAATAATAATAGTGACAAGAACAATGATTATAACAGTAATAATAAAATAATATATAACAACAACAACAACAACAACAACAACAACAACAACAACAACAACAACAATAATAATAATAATAATAATAATAACAAGTTAAAATAACGTTGAGTTATATCTTACAACGACGCTTCGATTGCTTTCCGCTATTTAATTTCCCGAACTTATAACTTTTTTTTTTTATTAATTTTTATAATTGAGGGAGTTAGAGAATTAGAGATTATAATAGAGTAGGAACTAGAGAATAAGAGAATAAGAGATTTGAAAATAGATGAGTTGATGAATTGTGGAAAAAAATGGAGGAAAAAGTGAAGTATTTATAGGAAAAATGATGAATTAGCCGTTAGAGTGGTTGTTGGAATATAGCCGTTAATATGGCTGTTACAATATAGCCGTTTATGGCTGTAGAAAGTTGCGGAAAGTAGCCGTTATGCACGGTCCGGCTTGCGGACCAAACAACCGTGCCGCCCACCATGCCTGTGCCGTGCTCGTGCCGATTTATCAAAATTTTGTTCACGACATGGCCCACGGCCCACTGCTGGGCCACCGTGCCGTGCCATCACCATGCCGTGCTCGTGTCGCCCGCGAGCCAGCACGACCATGCCCACCTCTAAGCAGGGCCAAGAGTTTAGATCTTCATTATATACCGATTTAAAAACAAACTGGTGTGTGATTTGGCCACGGTTGTCTATTGCGCAATAGGTTCAACAATTTTCATTATACACCGATTTAAAAATAAATTTTGAAAGAATTCTGACCGATTGCTACTTTGAAACATAATATTAATTAAAAAAAAAGGAGGATTTAAAGAGACTAATTCTCTATTGTCTTGAAATTGTTGACCCTATTGCGCTTTATACATTTTCTTTAAGACTACATAATTGTAATTTATTTATGTTTTTGCTTAATGAAAGATATATTTATATAGGTGTATATAGAGGACATAAATTACTACCGACTAAGATGGTAAAAAAATGTGATCTTATATCCATGAGGTTAAACTTGTGAGATGTTTTGTCAATTAACTAAGAAAACAGGCCGGTTATTACAATTACTAAAATGCAGTCTTTTTTTCAAGCATCAAGCCACGGTGTTTCCAATCATCGCGCCTTAAGCTATTATTACATTAAAAAAATAGTAATTGGTATTATTATGGAAATTAAAATTATAATCCATACATTTACTTTCATTAATCAATATCTACTAAAGACAATTTTTAATTGAGAATATGTGCCATGTGTTACTCTTTAAAAGGCTTTAAACATGTTATAATGGATGCAAGAAAAATAAACAAAATCAACAAAAACACACACAGAGATTTACGTGATTTACCAACAATGTATTGGCTACGTCCACAAGCAAACAAGAGGAAAGTTTTATTGCTCTCGAGAAAATTCAAATTACATATTCATAATAAACCTCACAGAAGCTAAAAATAACCCTAAGAAATGTTTATATGATACTCCCTAAAATAAAATTGAAATCACACAAGCTCACTTACATCCACACAACATTAGTCGCAACTCGCAAGTCCTTTCATTAAGGGCCTGTTCTGTTCAGTTTCAATCATTTCAGTTCATTTCCTAATTTCCTTCTCTCATAAACAATTCATTTCAGCTTTATTCAATTTAGTTCAGCCCCAATTAGTTCGGTTTAATTTATTTATTTTCATTAAATCAGAACAAACCCTAAATCACACCTACAAACCCATATAGCCGATATAGTCATATAGGGCATAGACCAGAGTCTAAGACCGTAGCACTATGCCAATTAAATGTACTTCGTAGTTTTAATGTTTCGTAATACTGGCAGTCTGGCACCAGTACAGGCTGCTCATTTGCTCAAAGAGTCAAAGCGAAGAAGCGAAACTGAAGAAAATTGGAGTTTTTCGTACTTCACCCCTCTCCCGTTGTCTCCTCTATTGAAGCGGACTCTGAATTCTCCATTGAAGCGACTTTCTGAGCTTTCTCTCCTCCATTGAAGCAGCTTCTGAGGTAAATTGATTTTCTTCATCAACGAATATCTGTGTTACAGTGTAATCGTTTATTTAATTGTTAATACTGTCAATTTAGGGTTCTTCTAAGGTGGATTGAATATCGAACTATTGGTTATAATCCATAATTTTGCTATTCATATTCTTAAGCGAGAGGAATTAAAATTTGATTATTGAGTAAAATTGTTTATTTTTGTGTTTTGATTTTTTGAATTTTTAGGGTAAAATGCGTTTAGCGGAGTTGGAAGTTGATACAGGTGGTGAATCAATGCCAGAGTTGGAAAGCCATGAAATATCGGCTTCCGATGACCGAGTATTTGATGATGTTATTGATTATGATGAGGGTGATGATGCTGAACAAGTCCCTGTATGGCTTGGTTTTGTTGAAAAGCCTAAGAATAGCCGGTTGCTTCTCCGTGAAGCCTTTCCGAGCAAAGCCGGAGGTGTTCCGGTGTGTCTAGCTAGCTCTTTTGAACTCTAATACTCTTTTTATTGTGTGTTGTGCTGTTTTCTGATGCAAGATTATATTCTTACTTGGTTAGGCTTGGTTGGATCCTGTGAATTTACCGACCGGAAAGTCTTGTCTTTGTGATATGTGCGGGGAGCCTTTGCAGTTCTTACTTCAGGTTTGTGTTGTGTCTGTGTTTCATGTTCTAGCATGCACATTGCTTTTCGACAGGACATTGATTCGGTTTGCTTCATTGTACAACATTGATTATGTTTTGTTCAAATATGTTTCCTTTTGGCGCGACCACAGGTGTATGCTCCTATCTCGGAAAAGGAATCAGCATTTCATCGAACTTTATATGTATTCATGTGCCTTTCTATGACGTGTCTTCTTAGAGATCAACACGAGCAATGGAAACGCGGACCACAAGTGCCATCTCGAAGGTATCTTCTGTTTATGTGGAAATAATTAGCTGCTTCTTTTTTAAAGTATTTTAAGCATTTTTTTCCTCACTTAAGTTTCGGCAACTGCAATGTTTATTTCTAGTGTGAAGGTTTTCCGCTGCCAACTCCCACTTACGAATGCCTTTTACTCAAGTAAGGCGCAGAAGGATGGGAGTGCTAGACCATTTGGATCAGGAGGTATCTTGGATTATGTTTTTATTTTGAAAATTCTCTTGCATATGAATTTTCTCGATTATCACCCCTACAATGCTCCAATATTTGATACATTGATTTGGAAATATGTTAATCTTCAATTCAAATGGAACATGTGGATTGTGAACTATTGCATCACGTTGATCAACTGTAAGATGTGTAGTGGTAGGAAATATAGGGGGCAAAAAAACCATGCCTTATTAATATAATATTAGGAGGATATTTCATTTTTAACAAATAGGAGTACAAAATTATATTTTAATTCTTGAAAGGTAACAAAATAAAGTTAAATTAGACTTCATAGTTGGGTTGAATAATTAATGGATTGAACCAAAGTCTTCAAACAACAATTCAAAACAGAGATGTTTAATCTGAAAATTCCTTATCTAAAATTACTCGAACTTATCTGTTCTCATTTTAGCTGTAAACAAACTTGGTAATCCTTATTTGAAGACTACCTTACGGATAAATTCAAAGAGTTTTGGTCATGATGAGCCAACTGTATACTAGCTTATTTCTGCTGCTTGTCATAATAATGCCTGTACATTGTAAACTGACACCTGTTTAGTGTTCCTCCCCCCCCCCCCCCCCCCCCCCAAAAAAAAAAAAAAAAAAAAGATCCTCAAAATAAAAAGTCCTATTTTATTCACTCTTTCAATTTGCTCTGTCCCAACTCTCCCAAGATAATTGAATGTTTTCTGATTGTCACTTATGTTGTTTAGCTCCCCTTTGTGCTTGGTGTGGGACATGGAAAGGAAATAAATTATGTAGCAACTGCAAAACGGCTCGTTACTGCTCTGAGAAACATCAGGTAATTGCAACCTAATCTCTTTTGCATTTGAGCGAATTTTTAAGCTTAACCATTGCTAATTATTTAATCTCACTGCTTGTAGGTTTTGCACTGGCGTGCAAATCATAAAGTCAAGTGTCAACAACTAAGTGTTTCTTCCAAATCATCTGATGGTGGCTGTATTGATGATGCCTCGTCAAATGAGATTCTCACAGGTTTGTCAATGGTCATATATCTAGTCTTCTTAATATGCAATCTCCAAAAAAAATATAAAAAATGCTTTGTTTAATCTCATAACTTAATTTGAATGATTGACCTGTGTCCGCATGTGGCTATAATCTCTTGGATTCTATATGGTTGCTAGATTATTTTGTGCTATTAAAGTGCGGGAAAAATGTTGATCCTTGGAATTCTCTTGAGTTTGGTGAATTTCTTGTAAATGCAACTACGTTGCTGCGTCACTTGCATGTTTTAGAACAAGACTGTCTTGTAGTCTGACACTGCAGCTTGCCTGCACTGCAAGCTCTGATCATATTTCAATGTCTAAAATGCTAATAGTCAGTTTATGCTCTAAATAGCTAGCTAATTTCCATTCATGCTCTTGATTTTCTAGACCCTGTTTCTTTCGATAGACAGGTTAAGGGAGAATTTTATCTCTGGCCTGGGGATTAACTTATGTCTTTCCATACATATGATTCTATTGGGCTTTGAAAACCTGTTCACTTCCTGGATTCATGCTACCATGCCATTGGATTATTTTTATAGCCTTGTAGGCTTCGTTATATATATTTGATAGTGTTCGACTGCTTCTAGTATTAATCATGCAATTTCGTGCTTTAAATTGAAATAGTGGTGGGAACCTGGGAGGAGATGAATTTAGTCTTTGAAGTAATCATTGAACTGAAGTGCGTAAATGCTGTTTTACTTAATCTCTCTTTGACTATATTACTGTTTGTATATGTTTTCTCTCTTCCATTTATTGCTATGCTTCATCTATGAGCCCACTAGCGCTAATTGTGACCTTGAGTTGATATGGCCTTGGGAGATTTGCTATACCATCAGATGGACAGATGCTTAAGAGGTGTTCACAAATATATTATATTGCTTCTGGAATGCAGTGTTTTCACTGTAATGAAAGTCTTTGACTAGTACACATTGTATTTTCCTAATGGACTTTGAGAAGTTATTTTTGTAGAAAGGGAAGTTTAGAAATAATAGTGAAACTTGTAGTTGAATAAGCAGGGAAAATCAAAACTGATAAAAACTGCTAAACCAAAAGGAAAATCATATAATATTAGGGCAGTAAAGATATACAAATGATAAAATTATATAATCGTAGAAGTGGATGGGGAGGTTGCCAGACAATCAAACAGAAGATGCATGCATTGGCAGGAACTTCACTTGAGAACCTTATCTCCTTTCCATTATTAATGCCCTTCTGTGTTCACCATGGTGATGGAAAACTCTATAAAGGAAGGGCCCGGGGGGGAGGGAGAACAAGGAGAATAGAGGGAAAGGGCCTTAGAGAGAACAAGACAGCACATTTTTTTTATACAACCAATTTATATGCATCTGACCATGAGGAAGGGAGAAAGAGGGGGGGGGGGGGGGTGGGAGGTCTCGAGCAAGGTAGTTTTTGGAAGACATTCTTAACCTATTTTTATTTGTAAGTTTTATTGGTATGTTGATATAGCATTTGTTGGACAAGGCTGTATTGATAATTTCCTGTTGATTTTGAACAGCTGCAAGCAAAGCTCTTTGGCCTGAGTTTGAGATCATAAATGAACATGAAGATAACTTTTCATTTTCTGAAACTGATGAAAATTCTGATTCATTGGTCTCAAGGCAACAAATGGATGAAACAGCTGACTCACTCATGGACAGTTTTGAGGTGTGAGCTTAAGCTGTTTACGATTTTCTACTTTTAGGTGGTAAATGTTTCCCTGGAGTGGTTTTAAATTATAGCTGGTTTCTGAACAGGGTGATGATGATCGACAGAGCTGGGCGACATTTCAACAGCATCTTGCTAATGCCCCTGAACAAGTACTGAGGTAATCTGTAGTTGTGTTGTGTAGTGTAGTTACTGCTTATGTACACTTTTGAGTGTGTTACAATTTGTATATTCTTATGGTTTATGCATTATATGATTTTGAATGATAGATTTCTATCTGGAAACATTGTTATCTTGTCTAATAAAAGGATTTGAGTTGGGGGAAATCAGATTAGGTCATGATGAGCTTATGCCATTTTTGGACCTCTGTTGTTTTAATTCGCTGATTTTGTTTGCCATACCAATAGACATACCGGAAACTTATCTGACACCTAGGCTTTGAGTTGATCTTTAAGTGATAATAGGAAAACATCACAATATATGAGGTTTCCTTTAATATTTTTCGTTTCCTAGGATTTGACTGTTATAGAGGACAGAGGATTTGCACTGCAGTCCAATAACAAATGCATTTAGCCATAATCAGCTGGCAGATTGTTAAGAGGAACGAGTTCTGTTAATGTGACGAGCACTTTCAGGAGGGTAAATATGTACTCCAACCATCTGGAGTATTGTCACTTTCCGTTACATAGTAGTTTTTGTAAAATCATATATTCAGTGGAGTCTTTTGTAAAATCATGTTACATCTTGATTATGAGAGGTTGAGCCCATGTGACAAGGAAATTCGGACAGAGGGAGTAGAATGTTATGTTTTCTCGCATATTAATAACTTGAGTCAGCCTTTCTTATCTGTGCTTCTAACAAACATATACTTGACCCAGGGATTTTTTTTGAAGGATTAAGCTCTTTCATTTTACACTATGATATTCTAACAGTTAAAAAATGTGCCCTGACAGAAATGATACAAGGGTAAGGGTCAAGGGCTAAAGGCTATAGTGAAAATAAAAAAAAGTCTCATATATATATTTCCTTTTACTGGAAGATCAAAGTACATAATTACAATGTTCCATAAAATGATACAAGACATCACTTTTACTGCTTTACCTGGCTCTTGGGTTCTCTCTCGTGGGTGGTATGTCTCTCATCTCCTCACAGAAGCAAATTCACCTTGTGTTGTAGTTGCAGGTGTATATTAATAACTCATAGAAGCTGCTACGTCATTTATTTTGGAATCTATCTATATTTGAGTCAGTTGATTTTAATTTTTGTTATTCTGGCATAGTTTGGTTGCTCATGAATAAACAAAATGGGTAAGCTCGAACCTCCCTCCCCACCCCTCTTGCATGAACTCCTGCCTGTTGGAGTAATATGTAATATTGTAAATTACCAAGCCATCACAAGCCTAAGCCTTCCTGTCATGTAACCTCTCCCACACACACATCCCAAAAGGCACAAAACAAACTATGGTCTCCGTTTTTGTCATTTCAACCACAAGTATATCTGTAGCTTATCAAACTGTAGACTCGTTTATACATCATGGAGAGATTCATTGCATACTTAATGGACTAAAGTGTAATGAAGACCTGACATTCTGGGCTGCATTGTATCATTGCTGTGACATGGGGTTTTTGAAATCATATTATTTAATGGAAATATTGTTTGCATCATTGCATGCCTATTTTATGATTCAAATGATTGACGTTACAACTTTTTTTTCTTCTGTTTGCCCAAAAACAGATACTCTAGAGATGAAGGGGCGACGCCTTTGTGGCCTACATCAAGTGGCCGGCCATCTAAAGCTGATATACCAAAGTGCTCTTCCTGTGGCGGCACAATGAAATTTGAGTTACAGGTTTGTTTACATTCACTTAATTAGCCAATAGATTCTCATGCTTGAGGCAATATTTTCCAATCATCTATATTTAATTGATTGAATTTCGGATCCTTTGTTTGTAGATCTTGCCTCAATTGCTATACTACTTTGGTGTGAACAATGATGCCAACTCGCTGGACTGGGCAACAACCGTGGTGTACACCTGTGCAGACTCTTGTGAAGGAAATCCATCTTACAAAGAAGAGTTTGTTTGGGTCCAACTTACCTCGCAATCTTCCACTGATGCTTGATTACCACAATTAGAAGCAGCCCCCCACCCCCAACACACACACCCCCTTTTTGTAGTGTTATATGTAGGAAACCTATGTGGCCGAAGCAAGTCCCACAATTTTGCTAAATCCTTGTCTTGTTTAGTGATTTTATAGTTGAAAATCAAGTGGTTTATATTTTTGCTGCAAGGCAAATATTCAGGTTGCTGGTTGCTATATAGACGAAACATGAGAGAGAGGAATTATTTAGACTAAAACCACAAGATGTATTATTAAATCTTGTCCGAACTAGTAATCAAGATTTGGGCTTGTGCAAAATTTTGAGTAGATACAAATTGAGTATGAAATTTTATATTTGTTATATTTGTGTATGGATTGATTTTTTCAGAACTTGACAATCCAATACGATTCAAATTTTATACTGCATAATACACTACATGCTTTCATTTTAAAACAATTGCCACAATTTGACATCACATATGGAGTATTGCACATCATTGACTGTTAAAAAATTTAATTCATTAATTTATTTATTTTAAAAAAATCATACAGTATTATATCCTTTAAGACCTAATCAAAATCGTTTTTAATTACTACGTATAACATTTGTTAAAATATAAGATATAAAAAAGTGCAAAAGTCAAATTGATGCCATATGTTAAAACTTAAAATTACACATACAATGATACAAGTATACAACTCTGAAAATACAACGAATATTCCTACAAACTAGCTATTTTCTCTTATGCCATAGCACATTAGCACATATACTCATCAAAAAGGTGCATCACAACATTCACAAGTAATCAAGTATTAGTAGCCATATAATAGGGTTCACTGAGGTTTATAAACATATATTTCGATGTATTATTTTGAAGAAACAGGTAAAAATTCAATAACTCAATAAACAACCTCCGGGTTGCAAGTCTCTCCCTCTCTCGCGCGCGCACACACTTAGGCGCACTGTTCTCTCGTTTTGTAAACAACAATCTAATAGTACATATGTGGGAAACCAATGGAGTACATTTAAAACGCAGCCCATCCAGCAGCACTGCCATTTGTTGTCCCAGTTCCAGCTTTAGAAGGAAGATTCCTCTGCAGATTGCATCAAGTACAATTATACAATGCAGAATAAGCACAATGAACCAGCAGCATGCTCTAACAAATATGGCAACAGAGATCTACAAGAATGTTTAACCATTTTAGATTAAAAATAAAAGCATACTTCATACTTGTGTATCATAAAAGAATGATAAGGTCAGCTACACCATCAATTCTCACTTGAAAGTTGTAACAAGGAAGTGTAATCATGAAATTGAACAAGAATTCTTGATGCCACTTTACATCTACACATCCATGGAGTCAATAGATGGCTAACACCTATAATATTCTAAAATGGCTACGGGATCAAGGATATATTTCGTGTCCAAATCCCAAAGAAAAGGTTTACACTAAAATCTACAGCAGCAACAAAAAATTTCACTTGGTACTACTTCATATGACACCAATTAATTTGAAAGTATCATGTCCTATCAATAATACCTCAAAAAGTACCAGGAATTTTGGAATTTAGCTTCACTCAGACACCATCAATATACTATAGATTTATCAACAAAATAGCCTAAAATTACCTCAGTGAAACTGATTATAAAGGTTAATGGTTGCTCTAACTCTCCAAGGAATTACAAAATATACAAAGAAAGAACCAAGTTATATTAATAATCACACTACCTGAATGAAAAATTCCCCTTCTTTCAATAGTGTCACATGTTTTTTTTCCCCCACCAAAGACAAGCCAACCACCCCACACACACTATCTGATTTTAGGATAAGAGATTAAGAGTAAAACACTGTTTCAACATGTACTTTAAATTCTTTTCTTTTTTTTTAATAATTATATATTTTTTTAATTTTTTTAAGCAAGTGGAATAAGTTAAACGATGAAGTCAATTGCGAAGACATTTATGGTAATTTGAAGCACATCTATGCTTGAGGGGCTTACCTCAAGTTGAGAAAAATCAGACAAAGGATCCACAGCATTTCTTGCACTGTCTTTTGAACCTTTGGGATTAGAAGTCAGCCTAGTAACAGCAGGGTCATTGGGTGGTGGTGGGAGTACCGAACGAATCTTCCCAGACCCACTTGGAGGTGGAGCAAGGCCCAGAGGTTTTGGGTTCCCAGACCCATTTGGAGGTGGAGCAAGTCCCACAGACTTATTTCCAGAGGAAAGCATACCTGATCCGCTCGCTAGTTTGTGCTTCACATTTATCCGAATAGTTTCACCTTCCTGCAATCATGTACACTAATAAGAAAGATATGGGGCATTGTCGCAAAACAAAATTTGTTGTAAGCCACCGTTACACATATTGTAAGCCCCAGTCCCCCACCAACATCAAGAACTGCAAATTTCAAACTTAAGTGTCAAGCATTGCATCAGGTTTCTAATTCAGACCAAATTTTACAGATAGGTTTGAAAAGATTGTAAGCTTGCCAAACGACATTGCCAAAACATAATTGTGGGAAAAGGTGTTTAAAATTTCACCATATATTGCAACTTAGCGGAGTTAACAAAACCTTTGACGATTAAAAGCTTAATATGCTTACTCTAATAAATGGCACAAAAGACAGGAACAAATTCCTTTAACACTTATTTTAAGAGGGTATGGGAGAGGTTCGAAGTTTAATAACTAAAGAGTTTTAGTCTCCATAAAATCTTATAGCACTACATGCCACTTACCATTATGTCATGCAACTTTATTTATTATTGATTTAGTTCTTAAGCTAACACTTGAATCCAACATAATACAGTACAACACGAGTAATCAAGTTCTCCATATTGCTGGTTCCACATTTCCAAGATCATTTAAAGTCAACCATAAGGATTCACAATCAATAAGGCGACAATGCTTACGTGCATGCATGACCAACAAGAAAGTAGTGAGTAATTCATCCCTCTGAAAAAGCACACGCTTGGTCCTAGGGAAAATCACCAGATAAACACTCTTCATATGAAGTAGTTCACTGCCATTAGTGACTATCCACTTCACACATAAATTAGACTTGATATCTTCCTAGCTAATATATAAATTATAAACTACCTAAGGAACACGACATGAGGTCATTAAGTAAGTGAGATATTCAAATCAGCCTAAATCTAATGTTCAGCAAAAATCCTCCTCTACTTTCAAACTATAAATTTTAAACCAAAAAATTTCTAGCCTGGCAACACAATAGGTTAACTGTAAAACCTAACTCCTAACTAGCAATGGGAATAAAAAACTATCACCTAACATTTATCATTAAACTACTGCTCTACAACCTCAAAATAAGAACTTTCATTTCAAAGTTCCCAATTATAATTTGCATAATAATAATATCTATGACTAAAGCATACTTTAGATTCAAACTAATAACAAAAAAACGTTGCTTGAGCTTTCTTTAATACTACATCTCTCTTTTTTACACTAATAACATCCTATTCCTTTCACATATCATAAAAGATAAAAAAAAATTGTAGGTTTACACATCTGTTAGTAGCAACAAGCTTCAGTATTACCTCTTATGTCCATGTCCCTTCCCATCGATTTTCAAAAATGCAATCGCTAAGTTTATTACTAGCACTTTATGTTATCCTACAACTAGCACTCTAGCAGCATTTCTTCATTTCTATAGGATTTACTAACTGAGCACCAATACACCTCATACTTCCAAATCTGCTATTGCTAACTGAATGTCAAACTTTTAAATCCACCTCCCCTCTATTCCCCATTCAAATCAGCCATGATCAGCATCCTCAAGCATCGAGATCGAGAGACCATAACATCTTTGATTTATCTCCATTCACAGATCCCCAATAACTTATTAACTTACCTTCCCTGCACTTTCCCAATTTCCCTGCGCCTGTCAATACTTCATACATTTTCCATCGCTGACCAATCAAAAACCTAATTGACCAAATGTCACAATCCAATCTTTGCTTGATCCTACTCATTCACAATCCAAATTTCTATCAATCGCACTCAAAAATGTGAAAATGTGATCACACATAAAGATTCACAGTTGATCAAACACCTTAAATCTATAAAACCTACTCAAACTGCCAACAATAAACCAATGCAACCAAATTAACACCATATTTTCCAATCAATTTCAATAATCAATCACAATTAAAACAATATAAGCTCAAAATTCAGCCAAATTATAAGATGAAACATCTAAAAATACCTTTAATCTATGATTAACAGCAGGATGAATATCAATAGAATTCTCATCACCACCTTCAGTAGCAGCAGAAACCTCTTTCTCACTCTCTCTCTTAACATGCTTCTCATGATCAGACAACGCAACATTGAAATCAAAAGCTTCATTTCGCTCAGCAAACCCTAACCCTATGAAAGCATGTTTACCAGTACCATCCTCAATCTTAAGCACAAAGTATCGGCTAGAATCGAGCGCAGGTTCAACCGATTGATCGCGAAGTCCAGGATAAACGAAGCAAGCAGCAAAGAGATCGCCGGAAATCGGATCTTCGAGTCGAATTTCGGCGCGAGATTTGCAGGAAACGACGCGAAGACGACCGGACCAGATCTTATCGGACTGGAGCCATTCGCCGCACTTGTAGCCGCCGGAGGTGGAGCGAGGAGGGATCTTGAAGACGGAGACTTCGCGGACAACGAGGAGAGTATGTTCGAAGGAATCGTCGTCGAATTCGTCGAAGGAAGAGGAAGTGGAGGAGCAAGGAGAAGACGCCATTGATGAAGAGAAATGGAGGTTAGTGAAGGTAATAAAAATGGTGGAGAGAGAGAAAGGGGAGTAGTGGTCTGGAGTTGGAGGAGAGAGAAAATGGAGGTTGTTGTTATGAAAATGAAAGTTGGTTGATTGGATTTTGCACCTAAATGCCTCAATTTTTACTCTTATTTCTTTTGTTTTGAAGGGTAGATTACATTACTAGCTTAGCAATCTAGCCTATGGGTAGTAATACTGGTAACTAGTAACGGACGAGTGATTGTGGAGTCAAATATACATTACTATTTACTAGGTTAGCAATACGCATCAAATAAACTACCTCCATTTTTTAAAATTCGACTCACTTATTATTTACATGCTCAAAATAAAATAATTTTTATTACAAATTACGATTAATACAATGGAAATAAGTTAGCATGTGGGATCTTATTATATTCTCCTAATTATAAATTTTACAAATATCATGTTTTTATATTTTTCACTTATACATAGCCGAAAATATTCATAATCAAAGATGTTCATGAAATACCGCGCAAATGCAAAGTGAGTCGAACTTTCAGGAACGGAGGGAGTACATTACATTATACTATATATGTGTATATTTTATTTTATTTTTGAAAAAAATGATGTGTATTTTTTTATTGCGCTTTTTTATTGCTTTTAAAATTAAGCATGTGTACATTTTAAAAGTTAAAAGAGTTTCCTATTATACTTAAGAAACAATGAGTGTGTATTGATTTAAAATGATATTATAATTGTAATTGAATTAATTTTATTTTACATTGAAAAATATATTTTCAAAAAAATCCTATAAATTTAACTAAATAATAAGACAAATCAATAAGAAAAATTGTCTAAACTAGGGGGGCCTACACGCATGTTACGCGCAAATGTTTAGTTGTTATGGTCGAATTGTAAAAGCTTGCCCTAGTACTTGAAGCTTGTTAGGTAGACTTTTAAACATATACTAAAGAACATTGCCAACAAACACTTCCTTATTCTCTCTCTACTCACTTTCTCACTAGTCTTGCTCATTAGCATTTTGATGATCATATTTTTATCCCACCAATGATTAAAAAAAAAAATCTTCGCTATGACATCATTCTCTCTCTGCCACAACATTCTCTGTTACTTTTACTAATACAAGACCAATATTTGTGTAATTACTTTTACTAATATAATTCAATTTATCATATGGTCAAGGTCGATTGAAAGATCTAACTATACAAATTAATTGGCCTTAGTATAGAACAAAAAATAGTTATGGTTAAATAATTAACTATATAATACATTCATGTGAATCAAATGGAAGGATATACAAAAACTTTATGCAAAAACATGTGTGCATATGTAGTATATACAAAAACATCTGAAAAATTACCTCTTGGTATATAAAAGGGTTGGTCACCCTATCCTACATAATCAAGCATTACGATTGCAATTTTTTTTTAAAACAAACAATTTAAGTTATTAACACAAGCAACTTAAATGCTTCAAGCAATTAAACCAAGTCATTTGGCCTTCCTTAACTATTACATCATGTTTATTAAAAATGAAAAAGTAAAAAAAAATATAAGGATAAATACGTAAATAAACTTTTTGAGGGATATATTAGTCTCAACAATATTCATAAGGGTTGAGTGGTACTTTTGAAAATGTAGGGAAATAAAAATGGAAAAAATATACTAATTTGAATATAAGATCATCTCCAATGGTGAAACTCATTAGAGTTTTTTTAGGAGAGAGAGGGTATTTTTTGTAAAGGATACCAATAAGTTGGTATCTAAAGTTAGATACTTCAAAAGACAGTTACCAAGTTTAGATACTTAACTTTGAGTCTCAATTGACTAGAGCTATTCTGAGTGCAGTCTAGACCGCGGTTTGGTGTGGTTTGCAGTTTGAAAATTGCGGTGCGGTTTTCAAAAATGACCAAACCACACATTTGCGGTTTGGTGCGGTTTTCAAAACATTTTAGACCAGACCTCACCACAAACCGCATCAAAGTGCGGTTTGCGGTTTAGACCGTCAAACCGTTATACCAATTTTATACTATTTTTATTAAAAAAATATATAGAATAGCTTAAAAATATGGTGTAATTTTTTACTATTATCTGATTAAAAGTTAAAAAAAAAAAAGTTTAATATTTAAATTATAAATAATAATCACAAAATAAAATAAAAAGTCTTTTTTAAAAAAAATATTTATAATTTAAAAAAACGTGGCTAAACCGCAAACCGCACAGCACCAAACCGCATTTTGCGATGCGGTTGAAAATGCAAACCGCACCGCAAATACCCCTACATTTGACAAAAAAAGTGGGGCCTTATTAATTTTATATTGATTTATTTAATTATTTAACTTATAATGTTTTTGTAAAACCTTAAAATTGTTTATTTTATTGGATGTAGTGGGCCATATTGGAAATGACATTAGTATACATAAGAGTTATTAAATTGAGAAGTGGGTTGGGTATTACCATTGGGTGTGAAAAATAACTCATTTTGTATTTTAATATTCCAAGTTAAGTCTCGCCATTAGAGATAGTCTAACACGTCGTATTAACAAAATTGAACATTTAATGATACAAAATTAAACAATTATATATATATATATAAATGAAAATTTTATATGTGATTCAAAACACGAAAAATTATAAGATGACGTTATTATGATGGAAGGGGTGCAGGCATAGCTACCTACATAGGGGTGTAGGTAAAAATTGTACTCCCTCTGTTTCGTATTAATCGCAACACTTTTTTTAATATCCATTTCATATTAATTGCAACATTTCTATATTTAGAAAGGACCTACTATTATTTTATAATTTCTCTCTCCCACTAACCCCACTTTTACAATATTTTATTATTTATCTTTCCTACCAACCCCACTTATACTATTTTTTTATTATTTTCCTCTCCCACCGACAATACTTATATTATAAAAATTTCTCTTTTGAGGCCCTCTATAAATTTTCTTAAACTTTATGAATACTCTAGTATTACGATTAATACGAAACGAAGGGACTAATAACAATGTGTCATGTTTATTATTGTTTTTGGGCTTCATTTAAAGGGCCCGTTTCCTTTGTTTTAAATTATTTTTTTTGAAAAGGAACCCTAAGAATTGCTCTATAAATATTGGAAATCCCATACAATATATGTTTTTTTTTCTTTTTCTTGACGAGCATATGATATTATTTCTCAGCAGTATCTGTTGTCTAAAAAAGAAATAAAAAGCCTACTTTTGAGTTTCTAGGCAACAAGGAAGATGAAGGGTAGAAGTCCTTTGGCATCTACCACTACTTTTGGCAAAGTAGTTGAATCTATAGCGTTGGCTATTCTTTTTGGTGGGTAAGTATTGGATTATTATTATTAGTAGTAGTTTTTCATCTGATTTCACACCCAAATCACATTACAACGATTGTTATATTCCGGCAGAAGATTATGTGAAGTCTTTTCGAGAAGTTAAAGAGAGATTTCGAAAATATAGAGAGAGAAAAAAGGATGAACAAGAAAATTAATTCACGATGATGCCTTATTTTGTTTCTGAATGTAAATTAGCCGATTGCTTTTTATTTCATTCATGGTTTCCAATTCCTAACTTTTATCCTAATAATTTACGTTACACTCCGTATGTACTCCATAGTTTATTTATGTTAATGCTTATTATTACTACTTGTTGGAGCGCCGGTAATATGGACACCACTAATTTTGTGAAATTAAATAGGAAGTATAAAAATCTCTAATTATTTTCTTAGGAAAATTTCCAATGATAACCCCCAATTATTTTAGTTTCTCAATGGTAACTACCATTTTTTCATATTATAAAAAATAATCTCTAATTTCTACTCGGTTATTACTCATGACATTACTAAGTAAAAGATGGATACCAGTATACCACTAGGGGTTAAATTGTTGACTATGATTAAAAATAGATTATTAGGTAGAAACTTTCATTTATATTGTCCTTCATCTGTCACGAAATTGGAACTATGCGTCACGACTCGAACTCAACTTCTCGATAGAGATTTTCTCTTCATCAAAAAAATCAATTTCTCCATTTTAAGTATCTTGATGTACCCAGTGGCGTATCCAGGAATTCCGAACTGTGGGTTCGAAATCTTAAAAAAAAAAAAATATGATCATATTTTGATTAAAAATTCAATACATAAATCAAATTTTATCACGGATGAATTACACAATAAAAAAAATAAAAAAAATAAAAAAAAACCTACAAAAGCATTCTTCGAGTTTTCCTACTTTGAAAGCGTGCTAATACATCATCATCACTAACTCTTGCAAATAAGTCTCTCTCAAGATAAGTAACTAAACTATCATTCAATAGTTGATCACCCGTACTATTCCGCAACTTATTTTTTACATAATACACTATTAATTATCAATTAAAATCACAAGTCCCCAATAAACACAAATTTGACAATATAAACTTCTTCTAATTATCAAATTTCAATTAACAGAACAAGTAAAAATTTTATTTCAAAAAAAAAAAAAACAAGTAAATTTTTTTTAATTCTAACTTCTAAGTTTCTACAATTCAATTTCTCAACAATTCAAGAATTCAACAATATATCAAAACCATAAACCAATTTAAAAAATAAAACAAGCAAACCAAGATTAAGAATTAATAGGAGTAGAGGAATAAGAGATTAAGAGGACTCACAATTGTAGAAGAACTCTGAAGTCTAAATTCAGAACAGTCGTCCCTCGTCCGTGTCTCCGTCACTCCGTGAGGTCGTCAGTGCTCCCGGTCGCCGGTTGGTGTCTCGGTGTGCGGTGCCGCGGCGGCTAGTGGCTAGGGTCATAGGGTGTCAAGGTTAGGGTTTTGGTGTTTGGGAATTTGGAGAAAATAAGAAATGTCGATGTTTGATTTCTGAAATCTGAAATTTGAATGTAAGGAGTAAAAGAACAAAAAAAAAAAAAAAAGTACAAAAAAAGAGGGCAATAGGAGTCGAACCTAAGACATTAAAAGGGCACGCCACTCTATTATTCAAAGCCTTACCAATGCACCAAACTTACCCATGTGATTATTATTCTCACAGAAATTGTATTAACCCTTTTTCTTTTTTTTTAAAAAAAAAAAATTAAAACTTATAATTTTTTTCCAAAAAATCTGTGGGTTCAATGAACCCCCTT